GGAAAGAAGCTGCAACTCAAAATATACTAAATGTGATGTTCTCTGTTCTGCCACAACACAGGTTAGAATGTGAAAAGAGGTTTTGCTAATTTATATGTGCATATCATTTGGGGCCGATTCATACCAGATGCGTTGGGGCTGTGCTGGCCATTATTTTCAGCACAGCTCGCCTCACACCCCGCTGTGCCCGTAGAAGTAAATGAAATGTTGCCTGTGACATTGCAATAAAGTTCTACAAAAACAAAAAACAGTGCGATGTGCTGGGATTGGCACATCTGCACTGCGCCAGGGCACTGCACACCAGACACTATACGATTAGCGCAGCATCTGTTGTGAATGAGCCCATAAAGTTTACAGATTGAAGCATAGATAACGTTTTAGAAGGTCAGACACAAAGTGTAATTCTCTTTATGATCTTATTTTGCTAATAAACTATATGAAAATGTAATACAAACCTCTGCGACTGTGCTTCTGATCCTGTCGAGAACCGACTCAAAATCCACCAAGCTAAAAAGAGGTTGTTGTTTCAACCGGTGTAGCTCTGCAGCAAAGATATCTTCCTGGTTCTTCAGTATGGAGCCTAGGATGCACAAAGACCATAGAGATTGTTTGGCACTTTGGCCTTTGTGTAATAAATCAAACTACCACAAGCAACTATCTGTCCCTTGTTTTTTTATTCATACGCTTTAAATTGGGAAACCAAAGTCCATACACCTGTAGTTGCTTTTCCATTCCTCTTTCAACCCGCCATTTTATTTTGCCTTGACATACGCTTTAAGAGACTGAATGTAATGCGGGATTTACAAGGATTTTGTGCAAAGATTTTAAGAACTTTTATCACTAAAAACTGGAATCTACAACTACACTATGTCAGTGCTTCCGTTTACCTTGTATCCCATTATTTGTCCCTGTACAAATGTGTTAAAGGATTCATTCCAACTGATTTTAGCTGTTTTGTTATAAAATAAAATCACAAAAATCTGTTTCCAAGTGCTAAATATATGATGCTGATTAGGGGTGAATTTAAAAGGAGAACTATGACGTTAGGGCTTTTCCCCATAGTTCTCCTTAGGGTAACGGGAGGACACAAACTAGCGTCCTCCCGTCACCCTAAGCTCAGTATACCGCTAGCTACAGCTCGCGGTATACTGAGACGCCGCACCTGAAGCGGATCCTGACAATTATGTCTGTATCCGCCCAGCTGCGTGTGTGACAGCTGGCTCTGCCTATCTAGAGGCAGAGCCAGCTGTACCCGCCCCCTCCGGCGTCCCATCCGCCAGTCAGCGCTGGAGGATCGGAGCGGGGAGGGGGGAAACCAGCCCCTCCCGTGTCATGGCAGAGAGCTGTGACAGGATCGAGAGGTGAGCGAACACCGGTATGTGTTCGCTCACTTCCCGATCTACTGAGCCGACCTGTGACAGTCTCATTGTCACAGGTCGGCTAGAACTATGAGCTGAGTGAAAAGACATCATGCTACTCTAGGCATACCAAAATGAAGGTGTCCTTTTGTGCAAGCTCAGCCTCTTGCATCATTCAAATATATTAGGAGATATAATGCTAGAATGTGCTATTAAAAGAAACATGCTGTCATTTCATACTAAACACTACTATTAAACTTTCATGTTTTCTGAACAACACGGATTCTGCTGACTCTACTCAATGTCCCCTGCTCCCCCTCTTTTACCCTATAGTTTATTTGCTACATTTGAGCAAAAATCTTTAGCAGTAGCCACTAGATGGAAATAAAATAAGACTAAACTGAGCACATTTTCAGATTGGTGCTGCCCCATTAACCTGCTGTTCTAGGTCTGAACCATGAGGACCATTATGATAAATACTGTATCCAACGTCTGTTCAAATTAAAATGAATTTGTACTTTTACAGATAATATCGCAGCCAGATTTATAGCACTACCATTTCTGCACCAGACATTAGTCTGGTGGATTATACTTCGATAATTTGCCATACACTCATAGATCACAAAAGTTGAATGGTACAATTGTTTAAATATCACATTAATCAAGAGTCATATGCAGCATAGAAGGTAAAATGTCAGAGTATGAATAAATTAGCTATAAATGGGAACATACCTGTTCTAGTCATTATTACATTCTGATTTTCAAACATCTGAACAGATTCTCCCACAAACAAAATCTTCTCAGCAACCCTCACAGGGATATAAGATGGCAGCATGTCAACCCTTAGCGAAAACTGCTTAAGAGAAGGTGCCAACATGTTCTCCTCCTCAATCAGACGCTGTTAGGAGACAAACAGACAAATCCTCATAATAAAGCACTAATATTATGTGCATAGTTAGAGGCAAAGCTCATGTATACCTGAACTGTGTGTATTTGTACAGCAACTGGTGTAAGCGAGTCTGTGGACACTCCCATTTTTACATATTCCTAATAAGCAGTAAATACACTTTAAAACAAGCCCTCACTGAACCCTGTAGCTGTAGGCACTGTGCAGCTATTCATCATAACAATTCACAGCAGAAGCACTGAAGTCATTCTCTTTGCAGCTCGGCACCCCTTGATAGAACTCTTGCTTTACATTTACATCAGTGATCACAAGGCTGCAGAGTCACTGCTGGGAAGGGCAAGTAGAGGGAGCTGAACAACTGAGAAAGGAGCCGGGATGACTTCAGTACTCAACAATGCCCGATTTACTGCTTGAGGAGAATATGTAAATATATAAATGTGCACAGTCTGGCCCAAGATTTAAAGGTTAAGTCTACTTTCCCAAGTGGAATTACCCCCTTCAATCTGCCAAGAAGTGCAAGAAGCGTTTCTCATTGGTCAGCGCGGTCAGAAGTGCTTCTCATTGGTCAGCATGGTGAGGGGAAGAGGGGGCCAGATTGGAGGGGTAATTCCATTTTCTCAAATTCACTTGGGAAATGGACTTAGCCTTTAAAGACTATTAAGTGGCAATACCAAATGTATGCACCAATTTCATGATGGCATTTACATTCAAATAAACATGTGTAAAAAAAAAAAAAAAACACACACACTTCTGTAATGAAATATCTCACCAAGTCTTGCAGCTCTCGCAGCTGTTTCCCTGAAAGACCCCCAATACCCAAGTCATCATCTTCTTCATCAGGCTGGGTTGAAGCATTGCCAGAAGCAGGCCCTTGTCTCACAAAAAACTCTTCATATTGGTCTAATAAAAGACCATGAAGCATCCAGGCCGACAACTGTTTGTACATGACTCCATGACACACTGCCAGGATCCTAGGCAGATATAAGACATGTAATTAGTGTCTTCATCAGAAAACTAATAGAACCAACATGCCTCATATCTATTTAAGGATCACTGTTATTTATAAGCAGTTCTACATCTATGTGCTTCCCTGTGCCTATAGTGTTCAGTTTCCCAGGACATCATAATGTGCTGTGCACTTTGAAATCATAAATATCCCAAATGAAAATAATTCTATGTGTAAACAAAAAAATCAACCCCCCCCCCCCCCCCCCCCCCCCCACTCCAAGACTGTCCATACAGACTTCTCTACTCCGGAAATACAAACGTTGAAGTGGCTTTTCAGTGCCCATTTATATATTTTAAAAAAAGAAGGTTTGTATCCCATGTATGGCCAAGTACACATATTGGTAGCCCGTTTATTTACAGAAACCCAATAAATACACAGGTATGTCAATGTGGTCAGAGATATGGGTGAGCGGGTGGGTGTACATACTCAAAATGAGCAGCCCTGTTCTAAAGACAGTAGAGCTTCCTTTTATTTTTAAAATGAGAGCAGGGAGCAAGTTGTTGCACCTCTTGTGATGAGGCAGCAGGAAGGAGGGGGGCCAGCAGCTATCAGAATAGGTTTTTGACAAAACATGCCACTGCCATTTCAGTTTGTATAGAAAATAGAGTCATATTCTGACTGCATAATGTACCAGTGAACTGCCAATTCGGATTGCAATATTGAAGCTAGGCTTGTGGACTGTAAAATCAGATTTTTCAGGTTTAGCTATAGCTATATATGGGTGTATCTGTTACAGATCAAGGTGGCTGACATGGGCAGAACCACATGGGCCCAATGGTTCAAAACCAACCCTTCTATGCTTGTACATGTTGAGTAATTTTCAAAATGCATAGCACAAGAAAATTAAATGTCCACGGAAGGCAGATTAAGCCTCCTACTGCAATTAGGAATATCATAGCAGACATATGTGAAATCTTCAATTAGGATGCCTTTCAGGCCATGCAGGGTCAAGTACTCAGTGACAACAGGCATATTTGGCTGTCAAGAGCACTCATTACTGCACAGAGAGGGCATCCAACTTGTTTGAAAACCTCTAGGTGACTGGCACCGATTATCTCCTTTAATTTGATGAAACTGAAATTCAGAGTTAGGACTTACCGGTAACTCTATTTCCATTAGTCTTCCAGGACAGCATCACGAGATGGAATCTCCTCCCCCACACACAGGAAACACGTCACTTAATCTGTTTAAAAGACCCTCCTCTCCTCCACTCCCTCAGTCATCACGAGAACCCAAGGCAAGCTGGAAAAAGACAGTGGACAGACCCCTCTGAACGGCGGTCCACCGTTTCCCCTGACCAGCCAAGGGGGTTTCGTCCTCCCGGTACCGGCCCGCACTGGGCACTGAAGGGGGAAAGGAAGCCAGCCTCATCTCCTGCAGCGCTAGGAGAATCCCTGGGGCTCACACAAGGTAGGCAAACCTACCCCTCTGCCTTACACAGGCAGGCCATACAGAAAAGGAAGACTTCCCGGGCAGCATCACCACATGGAAGCCCCTCTCAGCGTTCTGTGACGCGCTCCCCAGCTTGACTGAGGAAACACAAAAGACTGAGGGAGTGGAGGGTCTTTTAAACAGATTAAGTGACGTGTTTCCTGTGTGTGGGGGAGGAGATTCCATCTCGTGATGCTGTCCTGGAAGACGTTATGGGAAATTAAGTGCTCCCTGCGTGTTTATCACATGCACTTTCTGACCAGGGAGAAGACCATGGCGGTTCACAGGGGCACAGCAAACATGACAGAATAGGAATGTCTCACCACATGTTCTCAGTGAAACATCTGCCTAAGTATCATGGCTTCATCTCATACTAACTTAAAGGATGGATTCCTTACTTCTCCAGTGCACTGCGAACAACAGGCAGACCCCCACAACTGTGTTTGTAGACTGTTTCCAACAACTGACAACCATGAATCTGCAACAAAAGCAAATTTAAAAAATGCTACATATTATGCCAGGTCTGAAATCACATAGCTAATATTAAAGTGACATTAAAGTCAAAAAATGTTTCCCCCCCCAAAGTTAATGTCAGCACTTACCTTAAATGATGTCTCTTAATCCGATCTTCTTTCCTGATGTTTTCATCTGTCCCTCCAGCGGTGCGGCGGCTCTCCGATCCAGCGCGGACTCCTCTGGGCTTGCTGGCACTTCCTGTCCCACGGTGTCTGCATGCGGGAGCACGCGTCCATAGACTTACCTTGCGTCTCCCGCCCAAAAATCCAAACTGCGCATGCGCCCGCCCCAAGATGATTTGCGGCCGCCCAAGCAGTTTCGGATTCTCGGGCGGGAGCGCGCAACAAAAACAGGGTATGTTTAAACCGCTGTTAAAGCGTTTTTTTTGTAAAAAACTTTTTGCCTATATCTACTGCTTGATAGCAGTAGATATAGGCAAAAAAAGAACAAAACGGAGGGTTTAGAAACCCTTTAACATTCATCCTGAAATCATGTACCATGGTTTACCTCAAAAAAACCTCTACTACACTACAAGACTTGCTTAATTAAGTGAAATGTTGCACTTACTCTAGTTCATACAGGAATGTACACACATTTCAGATAGTAGCTTTCTGTTCTTTAGTAAAAGGTCAACATGACCTGACATTTCATTCACTGGTTCATTTCCAAAATGACTTGACAAAAATTGATTACTTCATATAGCAGAAACATCTCATGGCTTAACCATGGCATTCCAAAGAAGAAAGTCATAAAATGGATTAAATGCTGAAAACAGTAATATAATACACCAGCCTTGCAGGAAACCACCAGTGCTCTCTGGACTGCAAATACAGACTTCACTGCATAGTCGCCTCCTGCCTCCCACATGTCAATGTCTATTAATAAATTACTCTGGTCTGGAGTATAATAGATCAGAAGATCTGCTTTCATGGTTACTTCAGCGGAACTCCAGTAGCATTTAAGGCATTGCAATTAAAAGGTATGTAATGACTCGCCACAGTGGCCCTTTACAATGAAAGGGCTGTTCTGTAATTCCTTGAGATGCTTTTAGAATATATTGTAGACATTACGGCAGAAAGACTGAGCATTGTCTCACTAGGAGCATGATTGTGGAAAAGTAGTTCTACATGGGTGGGTGATTCAACCCACTGGCATTTAACATTCACCCACAATCAAAATATCAATAGTGGGTCAACCTTAGCTGGGAAATGTGTACCAGCCACCTCACATAAAACACTGCGAGGGGAATTTATCAATACTGGAGGAGCTGTGCATGACAACCAATCAGTTTCTCTCTTCCGTTTTCAACTCTTAACTGAACAGACTGAAGAGATAAGCTGATTGGTTGCCAAGGGCAACAGCTCTGGATTTTGTCTGCTCCAGTTTTGATAAATCCCCCCCTGCATGTTTTTAGAGAACAATTTGTCTGAAGTGGATTTCTTGTGATATCGCACTTGCAAATGTGATCACGTAATGTATGTCTGTCCATCTGTCTAGGTTTGGTATAGTATAAAGAATAAATACTGTAATAAACTAGGATTTAAGTCAGATTTTATTGACCTTTATAAATGTACTTTGCATGTAGCTGAATTCTTCTGTGAAATTGAATATCCATTGTATTACGGGTACACAACAGCAAGTACAATTGTACTTACCTTCTGACTCTTGATTTGGTCCAAAACAATCATTACTGATGGGAAGAGGAGATGAAACTGTAAAAAAAAATGTAGTATATCAATGTTAATTCATGCAAACCTGAAGGAAACCTGCACAGAGATAAATATGTAGGATGCATTGCTGAAATTACTAGATGCCTGGCTGTCATTCTTATCCAATGGCTTTAATGCTTTCTGACCTGAAAAAAAAGGATGTAAATGAATAGTGCCAAGCCACTAAGACTAAGAAAGTACTGAAGTTATAGTCAGCAAGGCAACCGGCGGG